GATAATTATAGAACTTTTTTAAGTACAAACACTTTACAATAATGTACTTGATGAAAATACTCGGCACCCCATTGCGATTAATGTCAGACAAAAACTTATTGAGTAAACCTGGGACGTTTAGTTTACTCTCCATATTCGCCAGATTTACCCTCTCAGATCTTTATCTTTTCATGTCACTTCTCTGAATGATCGTTAAAATAGGTTTGGGCGATTGTTAAAATCGGAAACCATCCAGACGATTTTTAATTTCTTTTCTATTTGCTTTAAAAATTCATTTTGAAATAATTTGCTAAATTATCAACACAGTTTTACTAATTTTTTTATTTTACTTTTATCGAATAGGAAATATTTAAAATTATGTAAGGTAAAACACTGCGAAGTAGATAAAATGAAAAACAAAAAAAATGCATCCGAAATAAATTAAGATCCAAAATGCTGTTTTTCAAGACCTTAATTTTAAAATAAGATGTGAAGCTACTGTTTAATGTTCCCATCTAATGATGTGTATGATGTATATCAGACGGAAAATTTTAATTTAAAAATAAAAGTAAGTACTTTGAAAAATTAAAAATAATTTTATTATAATTTTTATTTATACTCTTAAGATAAAAATGCAGTAGTCATTCCTTTGATGTAAAGAAATAAAGACTTTACTAATAAAATGACATTTAAAACGATTTTATACTGAAAATACAGTGGAGGGGAAAAAGTTTAAAAATGAAGACTTAAAACTTTCCAGGATAACAGACATAAAATAAGAAGAAATAGCCCAATATAAAATCCTTAGTGTATTGTATTCAACTGCCAGCTTGAAAAAGCGAAAAAATGTTCAGCCAAATAATTATGTGAAAAGGAAAATCTACACTTATAGAAAACCAGAATTAGAAATGCATTTTTGAGCATACACATTTAAGCAATCAGCTCCCACAAAAAGAAAATTCATTTTAATATATACCTCATTCTAAACTGGCAACTAGAAATTCGCATTTTCTGAAAGCGGTCTATAGAGACATTTTATTAGTAAGATAAAAATCTAAACATTTTTCTGTTCTAGAAAGTAACATGAAGACAAAATACATTTCTTATTTCTTTCTATTATACATATTATATATGTATACCCTACTGACATACAGTTGCTTGAACGCTAATATGTTTTCGGGAGAATAGCTATAATACGTAGTTTCAGCAAGTGATTTAAGAGAAAAAAAAACCGTAAAAAAAACTTTTGATAACTGGAATTTAAGATAAAAAGTGTATCTTTCTATTCTAATATATTTCAATAATTTATGAGAAATAATTTTGTCATATGAAATCTAATTTTTTTTTTCAAAATACTATTTCCAAAACGTGAATTTCAATAACTGACATAATTCAATATCTGCTCGGCTCGGATTTTAAATAAAAAATCTTAACATATTTCAGAAAATAAATAAGATTGGGGTAGGCCATCTTCAGAAAATGTCAAACTGCGCAAGTTACTTAATAAACGTGCCCACCAGCGGCCGAGCGGTAACGTCGCTGAACACTGGTAGTTCGGTTCGAATCCCGCGTTCCCCATGTGTAACCTGTATACGAGCCAGTTTCCCTTAAAAAGGTCCTCCACGAAGGCATCCCTCCCCTGAGGCAGATAGCCCGCGAGTGCTTTTTCATAATCTAATAAACCAAACCAAAACCAAAAATACTTAATAAACTCCCTAAGCGCAATGGATATTTAGAGATGCTGACGTTTAATTAATAATCTGCGTTTGCTAACTCAGATTTGTTCTTTTGATCTTGTCTTCTATCTTTCTCTTTAAATATCTAAATTATCCATGAAAAAGTATCTTCCATTGTGGGATTTTATTTCAGGTTTTCCAGTTAGTATTTTACACGACTAAGTATTCCAAGTAAGTCCTAATTTAATAGTTTTGATTCCAGTATTCAATACATAAATTTGCAGAACCGGTTTTAAAAACTGGCAATATAGACGACTTATGCCGACTTTTCGAGAGCGACTGTGAAGTTGTTCTTTCTAAGCCACAATGAATTATAGTGTTACGAATTTCGTACATAGATAGCTGATTTTAGTGAATATGTGTGTGAAATTGTTGTATTTTTTTGTATAATATGAAAAGCTGATAGAAATGATGCTTTCGCGGGAAAATAAAATTACGGGGGCAAGGGTATTTAATATTGCGTAAATAGCTATATCGTTAATTTGGCGAGATATCGCCAAGCTGGCAACGATTTTGGCAATTAATTTTTGTCGCCAAATTTAGCGAGAAATCGCCAAAAGCCTCCGAATCTGGCGACAATTTGGTCTTCCTGTATTAACGCAAATATGTATTTGTAACTATTGATGATTTGTGTAACTGTAACTGTATTCGGCCTTTATATGCCTTCCAGTAATTTCGAGAAGCAGAAAGTACTAGAAAAATCTAGGCAACCAGGTGAAAACTATACTAGACCAGAGAAAGCATCCGTCCCTGTGTTGTTGTTGTTGTTGTTGTTGTGAGGTGTTTCAGTTCCGAGTGACTTCGGAGTATTGAAAGCTTCGCTTTTTGGATGCATTTTGCATCCCATTATGTTTAGTTTGAAGTGTAACTACGGATTGTCCTCTATGAAACTGTGAACACTTGTAAGAATATTTCTGTGGAAAGTTTCAGAACGCTGAAATGTTTTCTTTTGATAAAATATGTATTATTAACCTATCATCGCAACTGTGAGCATTCAATCTATTACGACAGTATGCACGCATTAACAGGAGACGACTGGGTGAGCAGCTGTGCCGCCATAAAGACTTTCAGCTTTATTGCTCACTCAGTGGGACCACGTTTATTTAAAATTTTATATTACAATAAAAATTTTATTTTGATGTATACATAATTTTGTCATATACTTGACGCATTAACAGGTATATTTCACTTCAATTTATTAAACGAGAATGCCTCCTTATCATAGTAATACCTAGAAGAGATTCCATGGTTAGCTGAAAATCGCGATTACTCCGATGACAATGAAAATTAGGAAAACAGAATAACTTCAAGTTAGCAACGAATACTTTTAAGGTATGTGCCTACCCTAAAATCGGCGTTTTGGTGAAAATTTTCGATTTTTTTTATTTGTTCATTTTATAGGCCACACATTTAGGTTTCCAAATATGCTTTATTTTTGTTCTTACGGTAACTAGAAGCAAAGTTATTGTATAAATAATAAACCTGAAGTGAAGTTTCGGAAGTTGGCATTTAAAGGGACGTAAAATGTAAACAATAAGTTTAAACAGCTATTTTCTAATTATTAAACAATATAAAAGCTGTAAAAGCAACATGTCTTTCACTGTGTGACAAGGATTTGCTGATAAAATGTCTACATGGGAAGACTCAGAACAATAATGAGTGTTTTAATAACTTTTTCTTTTCATGTATCTAGAAATAGAAACTAATCCCATTATGTTTGAAAGATACATGGGAATAGACAAAGAGCGAATTCAGAAATCGAAACGCGAGCTCTACAAGTAACAAAGTTATCCAAAAAAAGCTAAAAGCTGAAAGAAAGTCAAAATTAGCTTAAAATGAAGCAGAAGAGTGACTAAAGACTAACATACAATTATGGCGTGTTTTAAAGGTCTAAAGTGGCTAAAACATTTTTTTGTGCTGTATTAAAATCTTTAAATGCATTTTCTGAGAGACTGTGCTTTTCGTTACTTTTGATCGCAATTGCGTTCATTTCTCAAAGTGTATCTAGAATATTGAAATTAAATTTTTCCAAAATGTTTTATTCATCTTTAGCTGTGTTCTGTAGCAAAATTTGACCTCTTTTCCATTTATTTATTGATTTTATTGACTGTATTTTGAAGAAAAGAGGATAGTTTTTGTTTTAATTAAGTTTTTGTACAAAGTTTGAAATATTTCAAATAATGTTATAAGTACAGGAAATCATTTGCTACATAACACAGGTAAGCATGTTATTTATATACTGTGTAAAGATTATTGAGGTATATTCGTTAGACTCTATTATAGATGTGGCGTATATGAAAATTTTCAAGTTTTCTAAGAAAATTTCTGTAAAATCCCGTTTTAATTCATAGTTTTATGTCCCATCTTACTCAAAAACATGTGCGTTTAATTAAAATTTTATGTGTTGTAAAAAATGTGCTTTGCATGTAAGCGCATACCTTAATACCTTACGTACATTTTTAACCAGTTTAATATCGAGAATATGTTGATTTGGTTGCGTAAACGGAATCTCACTGTATATAACGGAAGAATGAATTTTATAAAAAATTAAGTAATTGAAGTAGAAAAAGAATTAAAGAACAATATTAACAAGATAATTTCAATAATGTCTTTGAGTTCATTTTCGCGGAAAAATGTCAGTTAGAATTTTTTTTTTATGTACAGTATTTATATGTTTAGATTGCGTGCAATTAAAGTGTGTACGATTGCGCATAAAAGCATAAACAAACACACGATTGCATACGATAAACGTCAATAAACAAACGATTGTACATAAAACTTCCAAATACTATGATATCACTCTTTGTGAATGCTATCATTCCAAACATTTTTCTTTCCATTTTTATATTTTTGGGAGACAATTTTATTTCACACTGATTACTTGATGGATTGTGATAATAATTTCTAATCTTTCCGCACTGAAAAATTTAATTTTTTTAGACAAGCATGGTTAATCCGTAAACCAGGAAATCTGTCCTCGGTAAACGGAAGTGGATTGTATATTAGACGAAGCTCCAGTTTTGCTACTTGCCTAACGTCAATAACGCTAACGTGAGCCCAGCGCATTTGCAAAGGCTTCTTGATATATATATTTTTTTTTTACTTTTTCATTTTCTTTCCTAACACAGTATTCATTCATCATGCGATTATTCAAAAGAACTGGAATGGCAGTTTTATCAAAGCTAAATGAATGACTCGTTTAATACTAGTATAAAACTAACAATCGTTTTAATAATATTGAATAATTTTCCACTTATTCTAATAATTAAACATTTTTCATGACAGCGATGCTAAGCACAAATTCCGAATTCCAGACTTCAGTGGATGCATTTATAAATTAAAAATTGGCACTCAGGAAGTGAATTTGAGAAATCTACGTGGCATTGCTTTAAAAGGTAAGAGTTTTTAATTCTTTTGTATTGCAATAATTATTATTGTGCAAAAAAGTAAATAGTATTGATGATATGAAAAGCCAAAAAAATTATTTAATTAATCAAAGACAAAAACTTTACTTGCCTAATTATACAATTAATTGAATTTATCTTCCAGTCAAATATTTTTCAAATCTTTGAGTTTACATTAGAAATCAAAATGTTTAAATATAGTTGTTTGTTTCTTAATTTTTTTAAATTATTAAAGTAATTTAATTATACATTTTTACACTGAGATATTTTTCTTCGTAAATAATTCAGAAAATCTAAATTGGTTAGTGACATGTATTCTCAGTATCAGTCTTGTTTACTCAGAAATAATCAGTCAAATATACGCTCAGTAGCTTTACGAGAAATATTTAAATTATTTCAGTTCATATCCTATTTCAAAGAAATTTTTAAAAGCATTTTTAAATTTTTAGTACTTTTCAAATTAAATGCATCCTTCTTTGAATTAAGTGTCTTATTATAATTAGTTCTAGAAAAAAGTACTCAGCTTTTAATCTCGAGGCATGGAAAGAAACTAATTTCTTATAATAAAATTTTGATTAGTGTATTTCAATGACTTTATGAAATATAAATTTCTAGACATATAATATTATTATAAAAATGCAGTAAAATTATAATAAAAGCATATTTTTAAAATGAGCCTTTAACATATAAAATTTTTGTTAAGTTACAAATCTGAAAATAAAAATTAAAATGAAAGTAAGGTTTTTCTCACTTTAACGAAATTTGTACACGTTCTTGGCAAATCTTTTGAAAGCTGAAATGATATAAAGGCAAAACATATGTATCTTTTGCATATATTTATTTAATTTGAATGTTGCAAATCCTTCCAAATCCTTTTAAAATCATACAAATCTTAATTTATCATTAAGAGTAGGATTATGATGAGAATTATGTTGTTGTTGTAAACAGAAAGTTGAAGTTGAAAAAGAACAGTTGAAGAGCCAAAACATTATGACCACCTACTCAATAACGCGTTGCACAACCTTTGGCCCGCAAAGCAGCTGCAACTTGCCTTGGCATGGAGGACATAAGTTCTTGGTAGATGAATGGAGACACGTTGTACTAAATGTCTAAGCAGCGGTCACGAAAAGTGGAGACATTCCGACATGGTTGTGTTTGATCTCTGAGCTGCCGCTCCATGATATCCCAAATGTGCTCTATCAAGTTACGTTCCAGCGCGTTAGATGGCCGGAACATTAAATGGAATTCATCATTATACTTCTCGAACTCCAAAACAATTCTAGCCTTGTGACATGGAGCGTTTTCCTGCTGGAAGATTCCATTTCCATTTGGGAAGGTAGATGACATGTAAGGGTGCAACTGATCCGCAGTTATTTTCAGATAGTTCGGAGCTTTCATTAACAACAACTAAGGATCCCAGAGCAGCACATAAAAACGCCCCCAAAGCATAATCCTGCCCCCACCAGCAAGTGGTGGACGACGGCATACTATTCGCTTGGACAACGACGTTGGACCTGCAATACATTGGGTTCTCAGCTGAGCCTCTGTCTAGCGCCGATTTTGTTGAACTGAGCGGAACAGCCTCCAACGTCCTTTTTATTTGACAATGCTTGGACGTCCAACACCTTGGCATCTACTGATGGTTTAACCGTCATTTATTCACTTAGCATAAATACTAATAACGGTAGATCGTGAGCAACCTACCAGTCGCGCAGTTTCGGAGGTACTCGTTCTGAGTCTTCTGTCCATTACAATCTCCACTCCATCAAATTCCCTTAGATCAACAGCCTTTGCCATCGCTCGCGAAAGTAAATGCAAGAATAATCCCTTACCTTTTCCAGCAGCAGTTAAATACTATTTCCACTTAATCGTGTATCCTTCACGTCATCCACAGGAGTTCATTGAAAAATGTAGGGATGGTCATAATGTTTTGGTTCATCAGTGTAAGTCATAGTATTTGTAAGCATATGCGAAATATGTATACGCATTTTAGTTTACCCTTTCCAAATTGGGAAGCCAAATAAACCCTGAAAGGTTTAAAGATGTACTTTTTGTGATGATGATACGTCAAAGTGAGCTATCGGAAATTCGACAGTACGCGATACAAGAGTTTAGAGTGCAGAAGAGAGGCAATGAAAATCATTTATTAATATTTCGTTCTTGCATCATTTGTATCCATCACATCACTACACCTACAATTCCCGTATTTGCCTACGCTATGATCGAAAGTTAGTATATAACCTTCGTTATATTCTACCGTGTGAAAAGCTTGAAATACGACATTATTCTTGAATGTTCAAATTGAAAATTATGATCAACATTGTATAATTTTTCATAGGCAATTAAAATATCCTTCAAAGCTGTCTTAAACTTGCTTGTCCTTTCAAAATTAAGTATTATTTCTCCTAATTATCTTGGTACTAATGTCAAACAGAAGCCAAAACAAATATTCTTTTTCCACATTTTGTACAGAAATGAAACTTCTTTTAGAACTTTGAGGAGACCTGTACAACATAAACGTCAAAATGGAATTCAAAATAGTGACTAGTTATAAGTTTTTGAAATAAAGAGCGGGAGATATAAGTAAAATTTAACCCAATGGGAGAATAACTTTTGAAATTCAGAAGTTATCAGTTAACTGGAAAACAATAAGTTGTAAAATAAAAACACCTAATTTGGAAATACAGCAGCTTGTATTTGTGATCTAATATAGAATATCTAGAAAATAAGTGATGGTTGGAAGTCTTAGGTCACCTTTATCCACAAAAATATTCTGCTTAACTATCTTATTACACAATCAATGTATTTTATGAACTGGTTAATATTAGAAAATAGCAGATATGTGAGATTTCTCCTTTTAATAAAGAATTATATTTATTTAGATATTTACCTACAATTTATTCGATCTTGCTTTACATGCATTTTTAGCCCAATGTCGTTTTGAAGGTATTTATAAAGGAAATTGTTTGTTTCAGATTCTCAAATGATGAACAAGTTTACTACCAACAAAATCCTTCCAACCAAGATGTGTTTGCCTCTACCAATAGGTTTGTGCCTTAATTATTTAATAATGCATTGAAATTAACAATATGGTTATTAACAAAAACCATTCTGCAGTAATCTTTATTAATTAAGATAGAATAAAGAGAATATCAGAACAACAAGACGTGATGGATTTTAATGAAATTTGGACAATGTATCATTTGCGTTTGAGACATAAAATAGCACAGAAATATCAGAATATTGACATAGAAAGTTGTTATATCGTTCATTTCATTAAAGTATCTTTTATATTATATTGTTCATATGATGAAAAAAATTAGCCGAAAATGAAATTTGAACCAAGCAGAGGTCTAAACACTTCATTGCTTAAAGCTCATCAATATGAAATACAATCATGTCTTACAACAATTCAACATCATAAATAGCAATATTCCATTCTATTTATGATGGTTTTAATCAGCAGTTTAGATTACAATATTAGTGATTCCATAAAAGCAAGTCAAATGCTCTTCATTTCTGGCAGTGCGAGAATATAACATATCGTACTACAGCGTCTTACTGAATCTCAGTGAGATTTGATTTCTAGAAATACAGCTAGTGAATCTTTATTTCTAGAAATCAAATATACTGCTAGCTAGGATACCTTTAAAGGTACTAACTCATACTCCTTTCAAAGGTATAGCATACTGCAGCATGCTATACCTTTGAAAGCAGCTAATATAGCATGTGCAGGCAAGAGGCGTGAATTTACCATATTTCGTCAAGTTGTACTTATTAGACAATCAAACTAATTCATACAAGACAGGAATATTTTCTGCACATTTTCAAGATTTAAGGTTTCTGTTGTCAGGTATAATCTGAGCAACAATTGGAAGAAATGGTAAGCTAATATATTTGTAAATTCTATCGTAACAATCATTTTGATGTAGAATATCTACTATTCCATATCGTAACAATCATTCAGATAATTACATTTTCTGTGCCGGATAATTCTTGTTAATATTATGCATTTCGTTGTAAAACCGGTTCAAAAGCTGTCCAACCAGGATAGTGGTTAGTGACTCTGACTACCGTGCCAAAGAGCCCGGGTTCGAATCCAGAGAAGGCACAGATGTTTGTAAATAGTGTCTGCGCGGCTTGGGAGCACTCAAAATAGGCGACGAGTTGAAAGTCCTTTCAAGGAGTTAGTCGTAGGGAAAGAGGGCCTTGAGACCGTCGGACTCGTTTTCCCTCGGTGCTCTCCTTCAAAATTATGAGCGGATTGAGCAAAGTCGTACTATCACCTGTATGGTATCCAAGGCTCTTGCCAACGACAGGAACAATCTTGACTTCTTACCACAATGCATTTTGTGGGCTTGCTCTGATTTCAGACAAGCGAGATTAATCACAACAACAACTCGGGTTGAAGAAAAAGAGGGTGCAAGACTGTTAAGCTTATGTAATACGACTGCGTGTTTGATTCAGACTTACCTATCAGCTGAGACGAGGGGGGTCTATAAATTATATTCCATTTAGTGACTTTCATCATAAGGTATTCAACATGCTTTAAAAGGGAGTATAATATAGGTTATTTCTACAAGAATAAATAAGCGGAATTAATGCTTTGAACCGTTGTAAATTTAATTAAATATTTAATAACAAATATCTATTTTCTACAGAAGTCTCGGTTTGTGCTTTTTCTTGAATGGCAACTACGCTATATCGTGTTGCTAACGACATGACTTAGCTTGTGAGTAAACATACAACGCCTGCCACGTTAGCAAAAATAGTGTTGTTTTAATGTGGTTACAACAATAATAGTAGTAGTAGTAACGAAAGACGTGGGCGCCATCACTCTACCATTACGGTTAATCGGTTCTGCCCATGTCCGCCCTTGTCTAGTGTTTATTAATAATTCTTAAACTTTTACAATCCCATATATTGTGGCTGTTTACAAATGAAGTATTTACAATAATTGTATTCACATTATTAACATAACGTTTACACAAATTTTGATCGGAGAATTTTCTCTAATAAATTTCTTTCTTTTGTAATTTTTCTTTATTTTTAAGCTGTCTATATATTATTCCTTTATTGTGAAGTTTCTCCTTTATTATTTGCACCATTTCAACTGGAATGTTGTTTAAGTACAACAGCAATGTAATTACAAAAATAATGGCAATTATAGTGTTGTTAACATTATGAGGCATTTTTCCCGCCTTCTTAGCATGCCTTCGTAGTGTAGTGGTCAGCACGCTCGGAGCGCATTCGAGAGGTCCGTGGTTCGATTGCCGGCGAGGGCGTTGGTCATTTTTCATGTTTCCTGCTTCAAAAATACCTGATTTCTCTGCAGTGGCGCCCGATCTAAAAATAAGGTATGGATGATAATTCTCTACCACCAGGATTTGGCGATTGTGTCCCCTAATCTCCAGTCTCCCTTTAAGGGGGAGTATATAAGGTATTTCTCCAGTCTTTCAAAGCATGCATTTGTAATACAGTAGTCAGCGCTCTCGGTGCGTATTTGAGATGTCCGTTATTCAATTCCCGGCAAGGCCGTTGCTCATTTTTTATATGTCCTGCTTCAAAAATACCTAATGTCTCTACAACGTACGTGTTAATATAGTGTTGTTAACGTGGTTGCAACAATAGCGTTGTTAATGTAAATGTGACAATAGTTGTTAACGTGCTCATCAATCATGTGAGTAAACATACGCCCGCCCTGTCAGGCTTCAGCTCTGATACAAAGGTAGAAGCGAAAATTTGGTTGGAGACTTCTTTGAATACATCCTCCAACCCGTAAAAGACTGTCTTTGATTTTGAATAGATAAAAACAATGCAGTTAACTCTTTTTGAGTGACGGTTTCTTGTACTTGATATATTCTCCTTCACAAATATTCAGCCGTCGCTTTGCTAAACGTCATTTCCAACCTCGTCGTAGAGCTTCCAGAAGTTCATCCTCTGTGCGAAACATTCTAACGCTGTGTTAAACACTGTTCTCAATCTCGCTGGTGCCTCCAAATAATAAAATACAGAGGTTTTTGAATATTGCCATTTTATTGTTATTATTTACCCCAGACTGTTTTTATTGTTGCTATGTGCGCTAGATTACAATTATCCTTAAATTCGGAGCAACCTGTAACAGACGAATCGTTTTGTGGATATGGCGTAAATCGTTATTGATAGGATGAATTTCAAGCATTGTGCATTGTCATACGAAAGTGGTGGCCAACAATATGCTTTTTATCTATGGGTTTGGCTGAAATGGAGCACCTACTGAAAAACGTAGGTATAGAGAATGATTTCCATGTACTTCTTTTGAGTAACTGCCCCGTTTTCTTTGGCAGCATCATAGATAAAATGCATATCAGCGAGTTCTGCATTAACATACCGCTCACTATTCGCACGGAGACCAACGAATGACGCCAACAGAACGCTTGTACTTAGCACTCAACCCGGCCTTGTAGCATCTTAAGTGTTATTTCCATACACATACTCCATTACAAAATCTGATTATTTCAATTCACGGTACATTTTTGCCAGATATTTTAAATCACCGTGTATTTGTAGTTAATGATTAACTAAGTAACCAGATTGTTATGCATTTACGTAATTTTACAGAGAATGTTTTGGCCTTCTGTATTAGATGCCGGAATTAAATTTGCTTAAATAAATTGGATAAACCATAAGTTCATTGAAAAGGCTATAATCTAGTAATGTCTTAGGTGAAATTAACATTTAGGAAACTTTCGATGGATTGATTTATGTTCAGAAACTAACTATTAGTATTATTCTGAGACCACTTTTGTGTGTCTGTGATTTAAATGTTAATTAGTCTACCTAAATTTCTTTTAACTCTTGCGTCGTGAGAATGTTTTTTCATCCTGCAGTATAACAACACTGAGAGGGCTTGCAACAATAAATCGTTCCAAAATAAAAGGCTTTCCCCCATTAGCCGCTAATGTTGCGTTGACGCAACGGTCAAAATAAATGCGTATATAAATATAACTACCTAAGATATTTTATACCAGCAGATGATTTCGTGTAGGGAATATTATGAAGATTATTTCTGTAAAAAAATATTTGCCTTCAACAATCATTTTGTTTATAATAATTAATCTCATACTTTAAACAAAATTTAAGCAAAATTTTCGACCGGGTATTTTTGCTGAAAATATTTAACGAAAGAATCGCCGTCTTTATGAGTGATCTATTTTTAATCAAGGTCACCGTTTATCAGAACATTACATCAGTCAGATGTTTATATTTGTGTTGGGAAGCAGGGGAAAACAGGTGTTGCGTTGACGCAACGTCAGCAGGAAACGGGTAGTCAATCTCCTTTTTCACTCATTCCATTCTGGTTCGATTCCATTCGATGTTCTGGTTCATGTTCTGGTTGTTTAAAAATGCCTAGAACGAGATATCTTACATTAGAAGAAGCTCTTCAAAGATTTTTTGAGGAAGAAGCAGATGATGATAATGTTAATAATGACCAGAATGAAACTGATATTGTTGTTTTTCCCCCAGAAATTGCACAGGCTAATGAAAAAAAGAAAGGAATATCAATGTTTTAAATAATGATAATGATATTTTACCAAATGATACTGCTGGGGAAGTTGAAATTCACGTAAGAAGTAAGTTTCAGCCTTCTAAAAGCAGTTACAGTCATGCTAAAAAGTTTAAAAGCAGAAGACTGAAATCTTGAAGTGAATAAAAAAGGAAGTGTTAGTTATGTCTCAGGAAAAACGTGAAGAAAGAAAGAGATAAGAGAGAATTATAAAAGACAAAATACAAGGTAAAACTAGTGCACAGATTTTCGATTTTCTTTTTGGTTGAGGCATTTACTCTTTTCTCGTTGAACAGACAAATATTACGCTCAGCAAAAAAAAAAAAAAAAAAAAAAAAAAAAAAAAAAAAAAAAAACCACAATTTATTGCATCTGAAGCCTATATGAGAAGATTTATTGGAATAGTATTACTTGCAGGATATCATTCTTTACCTCAAGAAAAAATGTATTGGTCTTTTGATAAGGACATTTCTGTTCCTGTTGTACGACAATTGATATCAC